GCCGTGTTCATCGAGTATGTAGGAGCGGCTGCAAGATTGCATATTTGGCAGTCAATTTTGAGCTCGGCCAAACTGATTTGATGGTCACGTTGGACAGAACCATGTCCTCGGAAGTTCGATGAGAAATTAAATGTAGCATGTAGGAGTAATTCCCCGTAGACAAGATTGTGCATGTGTACTCCGTACGTACGAAGTAATACACGGGTGTGGAGCTAGAGGTGGACATTACATAATCAATCTACACCAAACCTGATTTTGTCTGCCTGCGAAATTTTCATCAGCGTTTGCCTTTTCCCACCTTCTGCTCCTTGTGACTGCACCACGTACGTATGGTCTCACCCGAACAACACTTGTGTTGGATGGACGTGCCCGAAGTTTTCCTTCGGCGACCTCTTTGCTCTCGTCTGCAGTGCCTGAAACGATGAGCCGCCAGGAAGAACCCAGCGCCGTTTACCAGCTACAGAATGACGACTATCTCGGAGCGCTGCCCTATTTTCTACGCGGTTGTTGAGTTTCAGAGTAGTCATGTCAAATCAGGTAGGTCTTTTCAGCCGTTGACGACATGTCTCTTGCTATGCTGTTCCTTTTTCCTCTTCCTTTTTTTGTCTTGTTTGCAACGGCATATGTGTGTACAGCGGTGGGCTATCTTTGTGCTCCAACTGCTGAAGGATGAATTCAACGTGCCAAGACAAAACATCCCCTTCATTACCAAACACCGCTGCTCTTGATTCTCTACGGACTCTGGTGCATGAAGATGGGGATACATTTCAATTCTGGTGCAGTGATTTCTGTGTGTGTCTGCAAACGTGATGATTGAACGACGGAAGATCCACACTACACAATATTTGATGCCACGTAAATGACGGCGCCTGTCTTTAGAGACCGTCATAATGGGTATGGCACCAGCCTTGATGTATTGCGAGCAATCAATCGTCCCTATTCAGTGCAGCCGCGCCGTGAGCCCATCGGACTGGCCGTGTTCTCAGCCCAATCGGAATATGTCGAATCTATGCTCCACGCATTGTCGAGGCAGTGACACCCAATGCGCCAGGAACCCAGAATAGTTAAGTCCTGTAGGCTGTGACAAAGACAGGCAATTCGCCGTTCACATCGGGCTACGTTGTTGACGAGCTAATGCAACGAATGCCTTCCAGAGCTGAACGGCACAGGCGGCGGCAGTTGTGCAACGTGCCGCCTCGCGATTCGGCGGCCGTCCAGAACATGCCCAGATGATGTCTGCCGCGTGGCTCGGCGACAAAGACAATGACGCGCCCACGGCGATTGAAGGAAAGGCTGGATTCATGACATAATAATTAACCGCCAAGGCGGCAAAGACTCCAATGCGCGGAAACGAGCTTCTGAGCGGCCGAGCCGACACGAAACGCCGTCATGGCCACGTTGGAAAATGCGCATCAACATGTGAGGTTTGAAAAAGACCACTAACGGAGTATAATAGCATGATAAACTCTCGGGTCCTCGTTTCAGCCTCTGAGCCTATGAGGTCAGGTGGTCCACCAGTGGATGTTCCTCCACCAGGATGGAACTGGCTGAATCAACTATCAACTCAAACTCGTGCCGAGAAACGGCGCGCCCATTCACCCAAGTGCGGTGTGGGTAAAAGGCGTATTTGACTCGACAAGGTGCCACCAATATGTCTCTATCGCCAAGTCTACGCCCACATTAAACTGGTAGACGGGATTTGCTCGCATACGATTCCGAAACCCCCCCTCTTGCCCCAAATGACACCCATGGCCTGGCCCATCTTAGCCTGGTGAAAGCCGGCCGCCAAGTCAGCGCCATACTAATCAATTGCCCGCCGTTCGACCGACATTTAATATGGGCCTTTCAAGCGTGAGATGGAAGGGGCAGGGAGAGAGAGATATGCTAGCGGATTGTCGTCATCCGAAGCCAAGAAGACGAGTTTGCAGCAGTCAAAAATCCACGTCTCGACACCATCAGTTCACTCTGGATATGCAGCATAGTTACCACGAAAGCAGTCAAGCAAGATAAGGCGAGCTCGACAACCATTGTAATTGATGACGGTGCGCCAGCGATGTTGGCATATTCAGCCACTAACGGTGCAGTATGCGCGCGCAATTGGCATATGATGGGAAAACACAACGAGCATGGCGACATGGGGCATTTTGTTTTCTTCTTGTCCACTCGGGGCTGAAATGGAAACACAAATATGACAGAACTGATATGGACAAGCTGAAGGGTCAGGACATGGTATGGAACGTTTCGGCATAGCTCGTCAGTCAAGGTGTGACAGCTATCGCTGTGCCATGCAGCTTAATGGATGGACTTGACCAATGTATGTATGTATGTACGTTCGATACGCCGTAGGGAAAGGAGTTTCGGAGCGGACTTGTTTTCTTCTTTGTGCGCCGGTTGTGAGCGCAAGTACGTAGCAAGGCCCAACCGACCAGACGGTCCTTGGATGATGCTGGGCCACAGATGTTTCATGACGGGTCACGATGTCCGCGATTATGAGAGAGGGAGAGAGAGACATGCGAAAGAACATGTTGTGCATAGCACCCTCCGCGGTGCTCGAGTGTTTCTCCGTGGACGCAAAGACATGACGATGTGCGAGCGCCGACGACAAAGGAAGCAATGATCAGAAAACGCAAGAGGGATTGATTGGCCTGCTCCCACATTTGGTACATGAACTACAATTTTGTAAATGCAATGCCATCTGAGCTAAAAGCGAAACCACGCATGGCGCCAAGCGGACAATCGGGATGAGGCAAACTTGAATTCTCAAACGAGAAATCATCATCTTGGTCGGCTCCACAGCCCTGGAAGCCACAACCTCCGTCTTTAAGCCCGCCAGTCCCGCACCAGAGCGCTGGGGCAAGCCTCTCCCAGGAACAGTGGCCGCATGTGCGCTTGATTGCGTCTGGACAGGGGCAGAACCTTAAGATTGCTGCAGGGTGGACGGATTAGGAACAGCTGCGATAGCGCCGAAGCCGTTGGCGGATGATGAAGGCAAGGTGTGGGTGTCGCCTGCCGATTTGGCTATGCCGCTACTCCGTACCAGAGAGGTCTCTAGACAAACTGTAAATGCAATTGGTAGTGCAAATGCACATGCAGGCTCGCGAGAGGACCGCGACACGCCCACGAAGGAGACAAATGACGCAAAGCATGCTGTGCGCGGCTGAATCATGGCACCACCAATCGGTTGTAAAGATTATCACGCGTGTTTTGATCAAACGGGGCAAGCCCTTCTCTTCCAGAAAAAAAAAAAAAAAAAAAAAAAAAACCAAGACACCATAATAATGCTAACTTTTAGCCTAGGTATTAGGTATTAAGTAATATGGAGCACCTAAACCCGCACTAACAAGTACATTCTAGTACGATTAAAATGAGAGGGGTGAAGAGCAAAAGCAAAAGCACAAGCAAAACAGTCTGGACTACTCCGTAGACTAGACGAGCTAAAGGTAGTAGCCCGTATGCCGAGATGGAATCCAACATTAAATAAGTGACGGGACGGCACATGGGACACATAGGAAACTCGTACGTATGCATGCAAACGGCTGCGGTTGCTACGTTTGTCTGCAGCCCTTTGTCTGCCTCTGCTCTGTGCTGTCTGTATAGACTCCGGTCTTTGGTGCCTTCACGATCCATCTTCTCACCGTCTTGGGAGGCCCTGTGGGTTTGGAGCTCCATTGATCCCGTCTTTCCCGCCGAATTCATAACACGCGAGTTATAGCCTGTGCTAGTACTCCGTATTCCATGGGCCATCTTCTCGAGCCGTTGAGTCCCGGCATTGCCTCAGAAAAGTGACCGGTCCCTGCCTCGTCGGAAGAGCTGTGGGCTCACATCCGCTCAGCCCATCATCAGCCACAACGCCAAAACGGCTGCAACGAGACGGCTCAGCACAAGACAGCACGTCGCAGCACATCGCATCACAGTGCTCTGTACGAAGTGCAGGGACAATAAAGGAGCCCTCGCACGCTATCCGCCTCATAATACGACCAAAGCTACAACAGCCTTGAAAGCGCGAATGGCAAAACAGGAAAAAAAAAAAAAGAAATAGCAACTCTGGCGACTTCGGAAGCGTTTTGAAACCCCGAATTGGCCCAATATTGAGCAAAGCCCGCACAACACGCCGCATAATACGGCTCTCAGCTTTCTTTCAGCCCTGGTGCTGCTGAAAAGGTCTCCCCCTTCAAACCCCTGCATACCCTAATTAAGATCCGTCGTCAAATCTCCTTGTCTGACTCGGCTCCCTGACCCCAGGGGAGCAACCTATTACACGTCAGTCCTCCGGCACGGCCAGCACAGCTCATCTCCGGGTCCCGAATTGACCAGTTGATCACCACGGGGCAGACTTGAGGTAGGTTTTTGGAGGCAAACTTGTCGCGTTTCGTTGTTCAAAAGAGGAACAAAAAAAAAAACAGAGAGCACTGATTGACTGACCTCGCTCCCCTCTGAATCTGCCTCTGCTTCTGGACACAGGCGCTTGGCAAGGCGCCTGGAGATTACTTACTACGCTGTCATTCCCCTCTCCTCAACGTCACAGGAAAGCCATCTTGCCTTCATTGCATTCTCACTCTTCAGCCTCTCCCCTTGGCACCCCTGACCGATCGGGCTATTAGGTTAGCCGCCGAGTCAAAAGGACGGAGTCATACGAAAGCAATTGCGTTGTTTAGCCGCTTTCTGTTTTTTCCCTCTTCTCCTTTCGACTGGTCCTTTTCTCCTTTGAGAACGCTTCTGGAACGACGACGACTTTTCTCTCTGCCGGCCAGAGATCCAAACACAAAAAAAAAAAGAGACGAAGGGGCGCACGCACGGAAAGAGAAGTAATGGTCGGCTGAACCGTCAATTTGCCACTGAATCCTTTCGCTTTGCGCCGTGTGACGCTCTTTTGAGAAACGGGCATCGAGGTAGTAATCTCTTATTTTCTTGTTCCAACTGCCCCCCCCCATCATTTCTCTCTTTTGCCCCCCTGCTCTTCTTCAGCAGCGAAGAAGAGCGAGGCATTGGCTTCTTGTGCCATGGGTGCAACTGTTGTCATGGCCCCGACTCTGCAGCTCTCGCAGCGCCCACTTTCTGCATCTGAGCTCTTGGGCCCAACGGGTGTCCTGTCGGCTTCACCTCTCCATCATTGCTCTGGCTCCGTTGCTGCCGGCTCGACTTCTCGAAGCACTGGAACCGACGCCCCGAAATTGCCAGAGCTGGACCTGGTGGGATTTGACTTGCCGACTTTCAATACTGATTTTAAACTCGAAAATTTGGTCTTTGCCGATGACAGAGAGCGTACTCCTGTCGCCCATCCCAAACCGTCTTCACAACCCGAGGTAGTGGAAGCTACAACATCTGGGACGAAGCTGCCCAGACAAGCTTCCACAGCTCGAAGCAAACGAAACTTATTGATTGATAGACCTCGGTCATGGTTGATGCCTACAAGCAAGTTTGCCAAGGAATTGCCAAATGGGAGTGACGGGGGCGGCCGCCTAGAATCAAACGTGTCTGCCCAAAGTCCCATTGCTGCCACCACGTCGACGAAAGCGACGACGACGACGAGGACATCACCACCTTCCCCCCTGTCGGGAAGCTCGGAAGGCTTCGCCAATTTTGCGAGACGCTCCTGGATCTCACGCTCTCCTCGTTCATCTTCGCCCAAGCATGCGTTCGAGCAGTCCGCTGCCGAACAGTTTCAACCAGGCCGTGAGGGGCTAGCTCGTACATCCACCGTCAAGGCATCCAAATCACCAGCTCGATTACAGATCATTACGAATACCGACGAGACGACGGAACACACAAAACAGCAACCAGAGAAACTCAGAGCAACTGCGAAGCCGTTTACAAGGGCAACGTCATACTTGTCCAAAATCAAAGGCAGACACCAAAACGCCCATCTTGGCCGGGACGGTGCTGAATCTGACCACAGCTGCGGTTCATCAGCCACCAGCCTTAACCGTACTTCCAACAGTATTCGTACGAGCGCCTCCCCGTCCATCTGCAGTGATGGTAATACCAACACGCCCATTACCGATGAGTCGTGCAACGAAATGACGCCCAAACTCCGTGACCCGCTGTGGTCGGCTTTCAAGACTCTTGATGTTGAGACGAGGGCCTTTGGGTCCAAGCAAACCGCGCACCGCGTTGCTCAGATCCATTCGGTTTTGCTGCCATTTTTGAAACGTACACGAGACAATTCATCGGCTAAAACGATTGCTCTCGAAGATGTTGAGAGGCGAGCCATCATTCTCAACAAGTGGTGGATGTCTCTTCTAGATATGCTCCATGGCCAGTTACAGCAGCCCATCCCTGGCGTGGACCGCCCGGTGCTGCTGGAAGCCGCAACGATGCTCATGATGCGGCCCGAATGGCGACAGGCGACCACGTACATGCAGCCACTGGCGGAACGGTCACCCTCGGAACGCGTGAGGTCACGATCATGGACACATGCCTCGAAATCGACGACAGATGGCTCCGTCCACTCGGACATGTTTGCCGAATCTGCAGAGCACAACATTCGAACCATGTTTGTGGCCAACCTGGTCAAGCAAATGGCCTATGTCGTGGACAAAATGTCGTTGCGCCACGCGCCTTTAAGCTTGGTAAACTTTTCTGGAAAGACGTGCGCATACGCCTTCTTCTTCGCCCCGGGAGTTGCCGACGTTTTGCTGCGGCTCTGGGGGCTTACACCGGAGCTCATCAGGCGAGCCGGGACCGAGTTTGGGCTCCCTCGCAGAGACGTGGGGGAAAGTGACGATATCACCGCCCTGTTCCCGCCCAAGTTGGGACCGTTGGGCTGGACTTCGCCTAGAGCCATGTGGGACGGTCTCAAGCAAATTCCCAAGATGCCGTTGCTCGTGGCGAGAATACCCTGGACTGGTCCCTGGGTCGCTCGGTGGAAGGGCCGAGACACCGACCTCTTCTTCATCTTTCTCAAGTATTTCCACGTTCTCTCGGACCAGTTCATCCCCCCTGGCCTGCCCCTTACGGAAAAGGCTCGGTCGCCCGCATTTGCCCTGGTTCACGCACAGCTATTGTCCATTGTGGACTCGACTATTCACCGCCAAACTGGCATCGAACCTGTGGCGTACGCTCCCCTAATTGACTCGGTTAACGGAGCAGACTCGGCTCTGCCCATGCCTCTCCCACCACCGAGTAATGCAATCCGGGTCATGGGCGAGAACAGGCTCGTTATCTTGCTCAAAGACTTCTTGTTCGACGATGGCCCGGAAATTGCAGGTGGTAGGCATACCTTTGCCGAATCGTTTGCTGCCACCCTCAAGGCGGCTGCAAGCAAGACGTCGCTGTACGACAACTCTGCGTGCTTTACACTTTGCGACTTTTTGGAAGAGGTCTTGATGGTTTACCATGAGTTCGAGGTAACAGCTGCAGCCCCAGCCAGCTACATTGACTGGCCTTTCTGGATCGAGGTGTGCAAACGCATGTCGAGCTCAATGAACACCATGTCTGAAGTTCGCATGCTGTCTTTTGTCTTTACCGTCTGGGATGCCATGGTCAAAGACTCCCGTAGGAAGGCGGCCGTCTGCTTAGAATGGCTCCTGACCGAGGAGTCGTTTAATGCGTATTTCAACAACTGGTGCCCTATGGTTCGAGCCTACTACCAGCGCCTCATTTGCTGGCGAATGTGTCGATACACTGGTGGCTCCGACGAAATGGACATGAATATCTACCTCGAGGCAGCCGCACGACTCAAGACCAATTGGGCTCACTACCTATACTTGAAGCAGAACGCAGAAGAGACCGGCAAAATGGCTCCATCAACAGCCCCCATGTCCCCTGCCATGGGCAAGAAGTTTATGATTATTCGCCAAGAGGCTACCTCGCCGAATCCGGGACTGTTCATGGGCTTCGACACATTCGCCAGAACCCCAGCATCATCATCAAAACCCAAGCACCAGCTCCTGCTTGGTATTGATTCCCCAGACACCGGCCTACTCGGCCGCAGCGACAACGGAAAGAAGCGTTGGTCGCTGCTGGGAAAAGTCCTCGCAATCACGTCTGGGAACATTGTTCAACCAGCCGCCGTGGACGACGAGTATGGACGGATACCACCAGGCTCAGCGGGAAGCGAGACCAGTGGCGGCCTTGGTCGAAAGCTAGCCGATCCAGCACCCCTCATTCCAACATCCAACTCAGGAGGGCGCCTGGGCAAGACGGGCCCTAAAGTCCCCGCTCCATCTTCAGATGATGGATCCTTGGGATCGTCTCCCGTCTACGACGAACAGAAATACACATTCAAATTTGTGCTCGGGTGGCAGCAAGCCCCCACTCCCGCTCGTGATCGCGTCCTGACGAGACCTCGACTGCCCATCCCAACACAGGCGCGCATCAGCGCGAAGAATCACAATGTTCTCCCGCCCCTGCCTCCTCTCCCGCCTCTTCCGCGAGCCGATGTCCCAGCCCAAACACGCCCGGAGACACCCAAACCGGCTCGCATACCAAAGGAAGGCGATTTGGCATCTCTTAACGCCTCCGTCGAGGAGTGGCTCCGCAACACGCCGACTGGCAGCTTGGAGCCTGGACCCGGCAGCCGACGAAGTAGTGGTAGCGTTGCCCGACGTGACGGCGGCACACCGGGCGAAACAACAACACGCAACAACACCTTGTCCACTACCAATACTGCCAGCGACAGCAACAGAGAGCAGCTTACGAAACCAGTAAAGCCTACTGGAATATATGCCAAGAATGCCGTGTATTGCGGTCGTGCCCTTGCAGAATGGGCTCAGGTGATTTCTGAATGCAATATTTTTACCGAAAGGCGCCAGGACGATGGTGTTGAGCTACTGGCCGATATTGAAGTGCCTCATCTCGGAGTGGACGGATTCCGCCGCGGGTAAACAAACAAAACATATCACCATCCTGATGACAGTGATTACGGACGTTGATGAGGCAAAAAAACCCGCCCTTTCTTGTACTCATTATACCCGTTGTGAATGAACAGGATACAGTCTACAGGATATATTACAAAAATTTTCTTTCTTTCTTTTTTCCCCAAATCTTCCATTTGGTCATACATCGCGGCGTTCCGGACGATCAGGGGTTTTTACACCAGCCGAGGCTGGTTTTGGATGTTTTTGTATTTGACAATATCGATTGCTTTTTGGCATTCATCATCTTGGCATGTTTTGATTGAGCTTGGCTCTGCATTCTGTTTGTCTTTATTATTTGGATTGATGCGTGCCTTGGCACAAGAAGCACACACAGCACAGCGCATATATTACCCAAATGGGCTTGGACTAGATACCCAGAATGAATGCAATAGATGATTTGACATGCAGTGCATTGGCGATGCTGCCCCCAGGCATGTGATATTTCTCTTTAACAGGCCGATGGACCGTGATATGTGGTATTCTGGCGATATGAGGACGGAACATTTGGCCACACGGCACCAGCCACGCCGTCTCAACATCCAGCTGGGTAATCCACGCTGCGCTGTGAGACTACCATATCACGTCTTAAAGCAACAACTCCGACTCAACAAGTTGGGCACGCTCTCGAATATGAGCCCAGGCCGTCTCAATGCCAATGTGCGGGCTCGCAGCAACAGTCACCCAACCCCTCCATGACCCATCTAAACTTCCTAATTCGGCCTCCTCCTCCATCCTGAGTGGCCAGCCCTGACAGTCCCACAGCCTCCAGGCCGGCCACTCAGCCATCACCCACCCCCGCTTTACACCTGATAAACGAGAAATGATGTCTGACAGTCAGCCGCCATTTTTGTTCACGCCCTCTCCAGGACATGGCCTCGGGCCTGTCGTTTTTCCTATTTGGTTCACGCTAGACTCTGTCGCTCCTAGATTCAAAAGTCGGCCCTTTCATTTTCCGACTGCCCACATTCACCCCCTCATCGTACACCGAGAAACATCATGCCTCACTATTCGGAAAAGAGTATATTCCCCATGCAAGGCGGCTGCCCATGCGGCTACGTTCGCTACCAAGTCAACCAGGCGCCGCTGCTGGTTCACTGCTGCCATTGCACCTCTTGCCAGCGTGAGCTCGGCACCGCCTTCGCCATCAACGCCATCATCGAATCGGACCAGCTCGAGCTTCTCCCGCCTGCCCAGCCTACTATCCCCGGAACCAAGGGCGCACCGGGGGGCGCATTGGCTGGTTTCAACGCGACGTTTGCACGACTGACTTTCTCTGACACCACTTGCGGACCCGTTGTCCTAAAGACTGAGAATGCCGAGCCACAGGCCACCGCCAACGCAAACGCCAACAGAGACATGGAAACCAGCACGGTCGAACTCGTTACTCTCCCGACTGAGTCAAGCGTCGGGATGACAGTCGCGCAGTGTTCCGCCTGCCACTCTGGCCTCTGGGCTCACTACGCCGATGCTGGTCCTCACACGACGTATCTTCGGGCTGGGACCCTCGATGCCGCCCACGAGATTAATCCCGATGTTCACATTTTCACGCGCTCCAAGAGGGGTTTTATTAGTCTGGCGGATGGCAAGCCTCAGTTTGAGTCGTATTACAAGGAGAGGGCTGGTTTTATCCGTGACGACTGCAAGGCCCGGTATGCTGCGTTGGAGGAGAAGACGGGTACATACATGGCGGAGTTGAGGGCCGCGTTGGGCAAGTAGCCCTGTCTTTGGGTGTTATTTGACCGTGAATCCGTACAGTCTTGTGAGACTTGTTTCTGTACTGGGGAACTCAAGTATGTAGTGTGTTTATAGTATTATGATTGCTGTAGCCTTGTGTCTCGCTTCGTCTCCACGAGATCCCTGTACAAGACGGGAATTTCAAGCACATCGCATTTAAATCGCACGACTCATGGAACAGCGCGAACCTTTATTGAATTGATGAAGCAGGGTGGCTGGATAGAGGTATCATTGCATATATATACTACACAGACCAGTGACTGGATGAGTTTGTGACAACAAACACTGTCTGGCTTCTGGTGCTGTCGTCCCCAGAATGGCAGACATGACATGCGAGTTGCATGGTTGCTTGAATATGATTTTGTTTGTCCATACTGTGACTTTTACCGTGACATATGTGACTGATTGCTCTCGACTCACGCGTTGCGATTTAGCTGGCGCCTCGCTTATGCGTCTTAAGATTTTCCTGCAGGAAGCCGGCATAGCCATCGAACACCACATTACTTTCCGTGTCAACGTCTACATTTGCACCACCGGATATGATGTCGAAGCTAGCTTGAAGGGCCAAGCATCTGGCAAGGAACATTGCGAGCTCTTCTGCCACGGGCAGCTGACCAGCCTCATGTGCGGAACACTACTCTTACTCTGTACGTGGATTTCCAATCCCACGCGATGGTTTAGCGCTGCAAGAAGACACATATCGATGTCCAGGTGCCTGTTGACAGACGGACCTCAAACGCTGGCTGGGGCCGAGTGCTTTGAGTCGGCTGGTCTGCATGGGACTGCCAGGCATTATTGTCAGTGTCGCATGGGTCGTTGTGGTCGTCATGGCGATGTGGTTGTAGCTGTGGACATTGGTCGAATTATACCTTCCTAGGCACAACGATGGACAAAAGAGAGAGAAAAAAGGCAAACTAATAGTCATCTCTCTTCTCTATCCTGTTCTCTGACAGATTTAAGGAGGAAGCGACTGAAAACAAGTGCCCTTAGTTGGCGGACTACCACCCCACACCACGACGCCTCGTTGGATTCGAAGGCGATGTTTGGTCCTGTTGAATGAGTCATCATAATAGGCATTGTGGAGGTATGGAAAATTGATGTTCATTGCTAAGAAACAGGAACCAAACGTAATTTTAGTTGTCAACTTTGTTGCGGCGTTGAATTTGGTTGAAAAGTATCAATGTTTGCCTCTTCCCAGAAGATTAATGTGCTCCTTCCCTCGACAGATGGAGATCGAAAGTATTTGGCCAGACCATGTGCCTAGCTATCGCCATCTATGATATAATAGACTGGAGTATAATAGTGTATACTAACTCAAGTTACCTACTAGGTACTAGTAGGTTTCGTAGTATTAATTAAGTTGATTAATAAAAATAGAAAGGGCTAGATGCAGGACAGTAACACTGTATTTTGGCCGTACCTAGGCCAGGGAACCGTGACTAACCACGCAATACACCATGGAACGCATCGCGATGCGAGAGCTAGCAAAAAAATAAACACCATGAGCTAGTTTATCCTCATTGCGTAGGGTTCCTAGTATTGATACCTCCCCAGGTGGGTAGGCAAGATGAATTCTGTTCAATATTAGGTGGCTTTCTGGATAAAATTCATGTGCAAGTAGCGTACTATACCTTTCAACTCCAATAGCATCGTCAAATTCCAACTTCAACAAAACCCAACCATGGGCGAAATTGATGGCTACACGAACGCCATCAAGAACCACATGGCCTTGGTCGGCGAGAGCGGCGGCGGCGATGTTTACGCAGCAGTGAAGCCTGCTCTACAAGCCACAGGGAGCTTATCGTCCATCACTGCGCGCGCGAAAGGTGCATTAGATGCCGCGGCCAGAGGCAGATACATTTTGCTAAAAGGAAAGGATGCCTTTGAGTGCCTCTGGAAATGTTCAAAACGCAAGCCCGTCATTGGGGAGGTCCAACACCTGAGAAGGGCCTTAGTCCCGAATATCGCCAGCAATTGATCCATTGACGGTTCGACAGCTCTCCCCTGGATCCTGGGAACCTCTTCTTTCACCAAAGACTGACGTTCTTCGATTTCTGGCGACGCTTTCAACAAGAGCATTTTATCCACTACAGTCTCAAGATACTAGTCCATTAAGGTGATTTGTCGGCAGAAGTCTCAGGACGCTACCAATACCGTGATTGGCAATGTAAAAGAGCCTCTTGGGCCTATGGCCATTGAAGCTAGTTGTCAATGCTCTTGCTGATGACCTTGCACAAAAATCGCAGCTCGAGGACCTACCGAGGCCAACATTGCGCAGACTGCAGGAGGCAATTCGGGCAGTCCCACACCAGGAGAAAATCAAAGAGTTACTCCATCACGGATGAAGGCGAGTGGTCGCCGTCGTCGAGGCCATCAGGGACTACGGAGCCACGGTCGAGCAATTCCAGGTCAGGTCGGAAACGTTGTCCAGAGCCCATCCGCCGGCAATGAAGGAAAACAAGGAGCTACCCCGGGACATACGACGCCGATTAGGCTACATTGTGGCCTGCAAGCAAGTCCAGATTACCACTCTGCATGACCGGCTAACAGGTCCGCATGAGCTGTTGATCGTGATAATAGAGGAGCCTGCCGGCGCAGCCGCCAGAATAATATGTCGAAGGGAAGACTCGAATCGAGCAGCTTGAACAGACGCTCTTGGTGAGATGCTCCAGCGAATGCGAGAGGCGATTTGCCGTCAAATATAAAGGAAGGGTGACAATGACTTGACGCCCTGAGGGCAGCTGAATGGGCTTGACTTACGACGAGCCTGGCAGAGAAGAAAGGGGAGATTGGTGCGCTCAACGCGAGCGCCGGCCAAGCAATTGGTGCTGCTCGAACGACAGATCCGCCGGCGATGAACTCGATGCCCTGTTCCTGCAAGTGATGTGGCTCGACAATATAAAGTTCGCAATAGCAACTCTGCCATTGCGACTGGCATCTAGCTAGCCATGCCGGAAGCTCGATGTCGGCTTGCTTTTGGGCGATTGGGTGCCTCATTTCCGCCGTGATGTCTGGGCCAGTAAAATGCTTGCCTTCCAGAACCACGACACACTAAGCAGACGGTTCTATATTCGAGATTCGTCAAGTTGCGCGCACTCACGCAGCAGTCGCAATGGGGAGCCATCGTTAGCCGCCGACTATACCCTCACAACGACTGCCTTCTTGTCCAGGTGTTTGAGATGGATGACGGCCGGGGGCTGTTGGGCTTTATTTAACCAGTGTTGATGAGACTAGTTGGACTGAAAGCTATTGTGGCTTGGGTAGCGTATGTGGACCGGTACGGAGTATATTTAGTGTATACATCACTGGACAAAAGTCTCGATAATGACCCATTTTTACACCAAAACTTATACTTTTTAAGTATAAATAAATTAAGATTTTTATATGTAAGTAAATTAATAAAAATCTAAAGTTTTTATAAATTTTTATTAAAACGTTAAGTAATAATTCATTAATAAAAGTAGTAAGTTTAGGTGTAAAATCGCTAATTATCGTGACTTTTGTCTACCCACTGTACTTAGCGATAGGGTCAACCCGTCGTGCCATGCAGTGTACCGGACCCCTCCAAACAGCATCTCTTCATCTGCACCTGGAATGAATGCACCTCCCATTTCTCTCATGCCTCTCCACAAACAGGATCATCGACATTGGGGGTCGCAGTTATTTCGATTTGCACAGAGACGAAATCAAAAAAGGGCCAACCGAGCTCCGTTGGACGCCGCCACTATGCCCAACACTGGAAGGCCCAGCCAGGATTGTCACCTGTGTCGTCAAAGACGTGTCAAGGTAGGTTGGTGGTGGTGACATCAGCCCTGCTTGACGCAGACCGCCTCAAACGCAGCACGATCCATCAAAACCACGCTGACAGCCTACAATACAGCCGCTGACCCTCTCTCACAGTGCGATCTTGGACGACCCGGCTGCCAGCGGTGTGTCAAGTACGGCGTGGAATGTCCGGGATACAGAGATCAACACGACCTGGTCTTTCGCAATGCCAACCCATCAACTGTCAAGAAGCGCAGGAAACGAGCGGCGGCCAAGGAAGAAGATCAAGATGATTCCAAAAGCCCATCGTCGGCCGGCACCAGATCGAGCACGCCGGCTTCCTTTGTTAGCAGCGGGGGAGCCACGTTTATCTTCGATTCAAAAACAGAACCGCTTCCATTGCCGGGCGATGCTGTCTCGACAGCACTGACGACAATTTCGCGGCCCTTGACAGAGCATTGGACAAATCATTCCGTGCCAATCATTCTCAACGTATACTCGACGCTCGACTTCCTCCACAACATTTACCGAATCAATCCTCGGAACGGGCCATTGGTCTGGGCGGCCCATCTCTTCACCCGAACCTATGTGACAAACATTCGGTACCCAGTTTCGATATACAGGGAGTCAGAAGTGGAAAACCAACGCGAGCTGGGCACGTACCTGGGAAGAACTCTGAGCGCGGTCAACACAGCGCTCAAGGAACCTGACGGCGCATTTCGAGACGACGTGCTTGCGACAGTTTGGATCCTAGCAAACTATGAGGTTGGTGGGCAAAGACTATTGACAATGGAGGACATTGTGCTGACTACAGTCGCAGCTGCTGGTCGGCTCACTGGGCCGCATGGAGCTACTTAGCCCCTGGCATCTACACACGAGAGGGCTTTACAGTATACTCAAGACAAGGGGTACCGCACATCTTTTGACGGCGCAGGGGAGGACTGCGTTTTGGCCGTGTTATAACATGGTGGTAAGTCTGGCCATGTTGTCCTGACTGGATTGGAATCTCACAAGGCACAGCAAATCCAAGCCCTAGTCAGCAACACGGAATGCCCGCCAGAGTCAGACGAATGGCTGGGCATCATAAGAAACAACCTTTACGACGGCGAAGGCTTTACATTGCACGTATCAGTCTTCATCACGCAATGCACGCACGTCCAAGCCACCATCCTCAATTTGCTTCATCGTCGCGATTTCGCGGTTGCAGAAGAGCAGTA